CCCCGCCTGTCTGTCTGCCTGTCTGCCTGCCTGTCTGCCTGCATACATGTCTGTCTACCTGGCTATCTCACTGCCTGTCTGCCTATGTGTCTGCATGGCTCTCTGCCTATGTGTCTGCATGGCTCTCTGCCTATGTGTCTGCGTGTTTGTCTCCGTGCCTGTCTTCTACATGCTTGCACCTGGGCATGCCTGCCTGTTTGTCTGCTGCATCCTATGCCTGCCTGTCTGCTGCATCCTACGTGCCTCGGCATAGCTGTCCGGCCTTCCCCGGGCCTGTCTCCGTGGACTACTCCTAGCCTGTGTTCCAGGTACAGGCCCGGGCCCAGACCCAAGTCAACGGCGACCTGGCCAGACCCAGGTCAACGGTCGTACAGGCCCGGGCCCAGACCTAGGCCAATGGCGGGATGCGGCTGGGACTTGCACCTGGGCATACTGTTCCATGCAAAACAGGCCTGTCTGCCCTCACCACACGTGGGCCCAGACCCAGGTCAACGGAGGTACAGGGCGAGACCAGGTCCTGCCTCCGTGCGTCCACAGGTCCAACCACAGGTCCAACCACAGGTCCAAGCCCAAGTCCGACCCTAGGTAGACCTGAAAACAGCGTCGGCCACAGACCCAATTCAATGGGGTTGCAGGGGCAGACCAGCACCAGGGCAACGTGTGGGACTGGACATGGGCTAGAACTTGCACCTCTTCTTTGAAAGGGCGGGGTCAAAAAAAAAAAAAAAAAAAAAAAAAAAAAAACAACAAAAAGTCAACGTCTGCCACTGACCAGGCCTATAAATAGATGGCCAATGCCTGACACGAAACCACCAATGATGTGCCGAGCTCACATCTGCCGCCACTTCTTCTACTCCCTGCTCAATTCTTCGACCTTCTTCATCTTCAACATTTCTCTCTTTCATCTCTCTCTCTCTCTCTCTCTTTCTCTCTCTCTCCATATCCAGTTCGATTGGGTAGATCCCCATGGTGCATGGAAGTGGTTCCAGCTCACGAACGAACAGAAAGGTTGGCAAGGGGGACGCCATAAACCCCTTCAGTGTAAGGTGGCCCGACGACAGTCTTTTCAATCGCCGTCGGGATGTTATTGACGGCGTCAATTGCACAGGCGGGAGATACCTCTGGCAGTTGAGGTAGGCATGGGAGTACCAGGCGGCTATGGAGGAAGAAGAGCGCCAGCAAGTTGCAGAGGAAAAGGATCGACAACTGGATTTGGAGTCTGATACGTACCTGCA